ATATACCTATGGCTAAATACTCAAATATTTACCTACCTATCGAAAATTTACCCATGGTACATTACAGTTATCAAGTAGCCGTTTTATTTTTGAGAAAATTATTCTATTATTGAATCATCATTCTTCGGGATCGGTTACGTTTCCGATGACTTTTAAAAAATAATAATGATAATAATAATAATAAAATAGTCATTGTTTGCCGAAATAAACTTTGCGTACCTATATTAAGTACATACCGTAATTTAGAATATTATTCTACTAAAAAATCTCGAGAAGTTATAAAATACTTGGTATAATATTAATGCATAACCTTTATAAGCTTCTCATTAACATAGGAAATTTGCATTTTCCAAAACAAAATACTATACAATAATGACAAACAGTAAATTAAGTTTGGAAACTATATTATTTGAAAAATTCCATACGGACTTGTAAATAATTCTTGAACAAGTACTATTCTGCGCTATTTGTGGTGAAAACTATTTTAAAAATAACTACCTAATCATATTTAGTATATATTTATTTATTTTTGAAGGTGTAAACAAAATCGATTGAAAAAAACTTCTAATGTTAATTTGTCCGAAAACATTTAATGTACGACGTGTCGTCAAATAATGTAAATTATATAAAATGTAAAAATAGGCTCAACGCCGAAAAAATTCGTAAGGTGCCAAATAGTCGGCGGTCGTTTAAATAACTCGAAACGTTTTATATAATTACTATGAAGTGTATTATATGTTTTGTATACATTAAAACTAATATTGTACGATCGTGTTTTTATTTTAAGAATTCGAGTACAACAAAGAGCCGAATAACCTATTAGTTTTACTAAAATTCATTTTTTTTTTTTTCAGAAAAAGGTTAGAAAAAACGTTCCAAATTGTTTACATTGTATTTTATACGATGTGGAAATTCATTATTTGACACATTTTTTTAGGTGTCCGACAGTTTTTTAAAAAAATATAATAATCTGACAACAAACGACGATACTGGTTTTATTTTCTTTGATTTGTCGGTCGCCTCAGCCTTTCCGCTTGTTAAACTGAAAAACCATCAGCTAAAAAAAAAAAATAAGTCATCAACTTATTATATTTTCACCGGTTCACCGAGCTCTATTTAACGTGTTGCTTTTAGTTTGACTCTTGTTTTCATCAAAAACAATCAAACATCAAAATTAGAAACAATAAAAACATTATTTTCCGGTTCTTTATACGTTTTTTTTCGGTTTAGCTCAGTTATTAAAAAACCGAAAACCTCTTTTTAACTTAAAAACTAAATTAAAAATTCAACAAAAAAAGCTCGCATGTTAAAGCAATATATTTGGTAGAAAACAGAAAACCTTACAATTTAAAATAATGAAATCATACGCTTTAAATTTGTTCGTTTTTCATTTTTTGTCCTTTTTCAGGTGTTCAAATTATTGTGAAAACTACGAGAAGGGTTAAAATAGTAAAAACGGGACGCAATCAGATGATGATCGTCTCGCGAACTTTCGGTGTCCGCTGACCATAGGTTAAGAATCTATGGTTTAAACGTTTATGAAAAAACAAATCGATTTCAATCGCCTTAAGCGAATACTTTCAACAATAAGTATAATATTATACTTTATTTTAATTTCTGTACGAATTCCGTGGATTAAACAAAAAATTAAATCGTAAAACTATGTAAAATAAAACTATTACTTACTATGTAATTATAATTTGTATAGTACCCGTCGAATCATCGTCGGCGTATCTATAAAGTTAGGTATTTTCAACATTTCCATGTAGGTAGGTAAGAATCTCGTGAAACGAAATTTAATTTCTACATTTACGGTGATTCATAGTTTATACAAACGTATAAAAAAGGTATGATAATTCCATATTCCATCGCGCGCTCGCAACTTAATGATAATAGTTTATATAATATAGAATACGAATGTCTCGTGGTTCAATGATTTAATAAAACTTTCCGAGAAGAAAAACTAAATGTGGCTTTTACTTTTAAAACGTTATATATCATATTATTATATTATTATATCGCTGTTCGAAAGTATAACAGAGTAAAGTTTTCGAAATATTGTTATCGCTGAAAAGGCGCTTAATGTCTATCAACTATATTATAATATATTGTACTTCTATATCGTGTGATGTAATGCAGCGCCATATCGTTTTGGAAAGTGCAAATATAAAAGAGTCCTCACTTTGTTATACTATCACATATCGAAATAAATATTATTACGCACACGCGATAGTGACATTTCCACGAAAACAACGATAATTGTTTAATATTTCGATATTACTTATATTTAAGGTGTCTTGTCACTAACAATTGTTTTCACTGTACCGTGTCTTGTACTATATAAATCCCATAAATAAATGGAGTATTAGTTAAAATAAATGTTGATGTTGAAATTTTTGATTTCCGTCAATCTGCCGACAAGATATTCCACTTTAAATTTTTTGTTTGAGGGAGAGCGGTGGTGTGTTATTAATACGCTGCGCGCCGTACCGTTACACAAATGGTACTCTATTACTCTCCTCCAACCCGAAATTAAAAAGGAGAATAACTCGTCAATGCATTGACGGAAATTAAAAATTTTAACGCTAAAATTTATTTTAAATAATATTCCATCTATTTATGAAGTTTTTAATACAGGTTGCAATTTGAAAATCTAAAGTAGATAGTGTTTTTACCTCTAAAAATAAGGGTGACAAAAAATAACGTAAATATAAAACTGTAGAGCAGCTTGTTTCTTAAATGTTCTAGAAAATAAATTCCGGAAAAAGTTAATAATTTCCGAGATAATGTAAATTAGTTTGTTATCTTTTATGTTTTTTCTTCCGGTTTTTCACAATGTTGTTATAAAACTTTTCGGAAAATCAAAAAAAAATTAATTATATATTAATTGGTTAATTGGGCAAAAACAAATAACATATATACTTGTCAATTACTATAATAATAAAAGCGTACATGAATTAAGAATAATCTTCGGAACGTGGGAAGAAAAAAAATGTTTTTATGAAAATAATATTTTCACGGCACGCGAAGTATTCGTAGCAGCATGCGATATAAATAAATACGTGTTTTTTTAATCTACAATTTCTAATTAATCACTATATCAAGGTAAACTGTTTGTATTATTATATTATACATTCTATATTTTGTTTTTTATTTATTTATTTATTTTTTTTTTTTAACGCGTCAGGTCTCTTTGTAATAATATTATTACAAATATTTTTGTTTTTATATACCTTATAATATCCGAAGTATATTTGATTTTTGACATCCATAGTTATTTATTTCGTTGCTGCTATTTATAACTCATGTAAAAGATCGAAAGTCAATATTAGAGAAGTTTCATTGTTTTGAGTAAACTATATAATATAATATTATGTGACTAGTTGTATGTTTATTTATCTATATACAACTTAATAATATTAATGTTCTATGTAAATTTCACGCAAACTTCAAGTGTATGTAGCAGTTGTGATGTATACCCATGTCCTATATTATAGAGTTTGGATACAACTATGACATACAAAGTTGTACAATAACTATATAATATATATTATATTATATATTATTGTTATGTAATGTAACCTATGAGTTTATGTTAGTATGGATGGTTTTAACCATACGGTTTATTATATTTATCTGGACGTGGAAAAATATAGGTACCTTTTTTTTTTCATATTAACTGACAGCAGGGAAATCAGTTTTTCACATTGTTACCCCACTACTACTATCATTTATTAATGAATATAATTAAGTGTTTTGTAAAATCCAGTTTTTCCTTTCACGGGGCAGGCTCATATTGTTAACTATGCTAATTAAACTGCGGTGAGAGGTGAGCGGATTAGCCGTGTTATCTCCAAACAGAATGCTAATTTAACTTAATCTGCACATGATCTTGATCCGGTGGCCGAGTCTTCCTGAGTGTACACTTTGATGTCCAGGACTGATGAGAGAGCTGTTCCTATTGCAGTTGGTTAGTGATTGGCCCTTGCCTCAACCTCCCTTATCATTCGTCCTGCTCCTTGTGGCACAGTATATTCGCTAGCATGCAGTAGAAAGACTTAGAGCCGCGAAAGAAAGCTGCCGTGATTTGATCGTATGTAGCCTGGTCAGAATCTCGGGATGGGATTTCTCCCGGGCTGCAGAGTAGATTTTGGATGTCGCTGGGAGAAATGCGTTTTCTACGCTTTTAGTGTACGATCTGAAATCTTGCCGAAAAGGCTCCCAGTGAGGGCATGCGAAGAGCGTGTGATCTGAAGTGTTTTTCAGGTGTCGGCAATATAAGTACTTCGCGTCTGGGGTTCGTCCTATCCGACAGAGGTAGTACCTAAAGCACCCGTGACCTGTTAAGGCCCGGTTAGGTCTGGGAGAACCCTGTGAGTCCAAGCCGCCTTAGTCATGTGGTCATACCCGTTTGACCACGCGTTTATGACGATGTTTCATCATAGCTACAGACATTACAACGAATTATGAAATGCTAATGAGTGTATATAACGATAGCTAGTGATAAGGTGTAATCGAATATTTAAATACAAAACACATTAATAACGTTTATATAATTTAATACCATGTTAATTAATTAAATAAATATTGGTATAGGTATATATTATATAAACTATTATATTTTGTTCATATTACTCCTTATATTGTCAAGAAAACAATTTGAAAAAATATTATCAGCAGACTAAATATTAGTTTGTACTTTAGAATAAAGTCTATAAACCAATCTATAAACAGCTCAAAAATAGCTTAAATGTTTTGAAAAAATTAAGACTTATAAAAAAGGCCATTATAAGTTTTCTGTCCAAATTATAAGTCTTTTCGAACGTTTGAACTGAATTACAATAAAAAAATCAAATTAAAAATAATATAAGCATTATTTTCGTAAATTTTTCAGTTTTTCCTATGTTTTTTTCACAATTTTTCCAAATTATTATGAAAACTGTTTAAACAAATCAATAAATAACATTCTTAAAATACCAACTAGATAAAATTTACTTTCAGAAAGGTGTTTGACAAAGCAAGACTCTGATAGAATATTTGTGCACAGTAAATAAAAAAAAATAAATAAATAACTAAACATCATTGTAAAACCAATATATCTAAAATCTATGCTTAAAATTAAAAACTGTACTTTGCATAATACATTTATGACAGAACCCCTGTCAATTTGATAATGAACGCGTGACAAAATATTGTCTTTAAAATTTAATGGAAAACATAATAATATACTTATTACAAATCTATCTATGGTATTTCAATCATAACGGTCGTAGGAAGTTCAAACAAATACAAATAAATTGCATACTGAATGGTGGTGGTAATAGAAAACTCAAAATCCAAAAAGATGGAGTCGGCGGTAACGTACATTCTAATTCGGGTTTCAAATTTACTGTCAGACCAGATAACATTACACATGCCGACGCGGTGACCGTGTACGACTGATATACGACTGATACCGATGACTTAGATTTATTATTATTTCAAGACGAACATTTGTAAGCAATGCGTAATATCTAATGTATAATGCACTAAAATACCATATTGACGAACAACGTCTAAACGGTATTTACACGGTTCTTAGAACTGTGTAAACGTAATAACATAATTTATACACACAGCTGATGTGATGCCTGAGATATTTTTGCAAATACGTTCTAATAACCGCCGGCAAACATAATCCCCGAGCTTTGACGCAATACGCTCTGCTGATTAGGCTACATCCGTGACCGTGCGGGGTGAACGTATATTACACAATATCATCGCAACAACACTATGTATGCGTGCACGGGTCTCTTCCAATTTATATACTCATAATATAATCGACTCGTAAACTAGCGAAGCCGTAATATAATAGATAACATGCACAATGTACATCATACAAACGTAACCTTACCAAATACGATTAAGCCGTGTCGCTGGCGTAACGAAAAGATCACGTACAGTCATTGGAGAATTTCAACTCTTATTTTTGTCTCTGATAATTCGCACTCATTTCGGTTGGCCACGTAGTATTGAGTACAGCGGTTGTTCCCGGTAAAAATAATTCATTTTGCCCCATTTCAACGCTTAATACAATTCTATGATGAACCTCGAGTAAAATTTTCAAACATTTCTGCAAGGCCGAAACAATTGTATCCACATAAAAACTAAAAATATTCGAAAATATCAATTAATTTAAAATAAACATAAATCATCAGACAATTTTGAAAATTGCACTACGTTTAAAAAATGATAATGCAAGTATTTTCTGAAAATGCTAGGTCTCCACAATTATTTTCAATCTAAGTACAAAAAAATTAAAATAACGAATCTGTTTTTCTTACGTTTTTTCAATTATTAGAAAATTGACCAGGAAAATCAATAACCTACCTTCTCGTGGACCAACTAGTTATGCGATAATATTTTAAAGTATAATTTTTTATTGAAATCGAAAAAAATCACGACATTTCAAAACGTGTTTATTCAAATTTCGTTCAAACCGTTTTACTAATAACGTTCATACGCTATTCATAACGTCCGTGTGTCCACGTGCGTTCGAACGGCATAGTGTGAAACGAGCTTTAAATAAAATGTTACTAAACAAACATTAAATAATCCTCAAACCGGACCGTTTTATCGAAGTACAAAGAACCGCGGTCCTGCGACAATAATAATGTAATAACGACTGGCGCAGTCAAAACCGGTCGAAACCTGCCGACGCATGCGTACAATAGTGCCGTCGCGTAAGCCCTACCGGTTTCTCATCGGCAGTATTCGTTGAACAGCCGTTAGGAGATGTTCTCGCGCGTCTGCGTACAATAATATTTATTAATTATTGTTTTATTAGTGTTCTAATTTTTTTTCCGTGTCCGAGTGCCATGTTTGTTTATGTCTTTTTCATTTTAAATCGTTCGAGTGCCGTCGTTATTACAATTTACAAAGACAAAACATAACTAAAACATTTCAAGATCAAGTACCTACGGCAATACTAGGCGGTATCGAAACTTCAAATAAATCAGATAAGCGCATTGATGGTGAGTACCTAAACTCAGTATAATTATTATATTTGTATAATTTAACGAAATCACAATGGTTGATAGAAGCCATTTTTTCTTAAAGTCATGGTTAAATTCATTTTTTTTTTTTTTTTTTTTAATAATAATTTTTTTTTAAAACCTATTTATATATTTTAAACTACAGCAGTAGGTTAAAAACGCTGTTATCATTATAACCAAAATACAATTTTATATTAATTTTACTAATCACAAAACAACAAATCTGATTGTATACTTAACGACGAAATTATTATTTTTATAAATACCCGAAATTCTATTTTATTTTATTTTATCCTGTTTAAAGCTGTATGTACATTATGTACATGATCAATGAATTTAGAAGTTTTTTTTTCTTCAATTGAATTGGTAATTTTTAATTATTATTCTACGTCATAGAATTCTGGTATTCTAGTGTATACTCGCATAGCGTTTATATAACATGTATGTGCACTCGTTAATTCACGTCTATTTGATAAATATCGTGTTTATCGTCATTTCATAAAATTATTAAATATAATGCAATTTATACATACATATTGATATTTTTATTACGTATAACATATGAAATCCGTGAAAGATCTTGTACGCAGGTGGACCTTTGTCAATTTCGTAATATTTCCACACTAATTTTGGTATTTTTGTAGTTTAAGATGTACCCTTAATTTAAGGTTTTTTTTTTTCAAGTCTAATGTATTTACTTTTAACATTGAAAACGATGCTGACCATTAGTTTCAATGTTTTGTCATTCAAAATTTGTCAATTTTACGGTTTTCTTTCCGTTAACCATTTGACTTGTTACTGGTGCGCTTACGAAACCTATGGTATTAGGTTCAAACGTAATAGAGACCAACAAAAATTATAATTTTTTTTGTCATATATTTTTTACCAGTCGTCTACCTGACGTGATTTTGCACAACAAATTGAGAATTTCATTCGTTTAAAAACAGTAAATCGTGTTGTTTTTTGGAGATAATATTTTGATTTGGAACGCATATTATGCAATTAGTTGATTAAGTCGATTTTCATTAATATAATACGCAGTAATTAATTTAACCCAGATTGGTCCTTGTAAATACGACCGTAAAATGTCAAAACTGATAAGATTGAATATGTTATTACTACGAAAAATAATATCCTTCACGCGATTCGTATTTTATTCTCGTATACAATAAAATACAAACAACATAACGAGTAAAGAGGATCTTAATATACATAATAATAATATTACAGCGGCGATACGTCTGTTTTATTTATCGTTTGTAACTATTATCTGCTCGACAATGAACGTGTTCACGTACTCACATCTCGTAAACAGCACAGATTCGATGGATTTTTTTTTTTTGGGTGCAATGCTGTTTCATAAATTTATTTGGTATGTACGCTGATGATAAATGATAACAATCGGAGTTCAATAATTATAATAATTAAGATATTGTTTGTTTTTTGTAAAATTAACAATTTTCATCTATAATGTATTTTATGTTTTGTATTTTAAAAAGACTGGAGGATCACGGGGTCGGACGCAGCTACTGTTATAGGGAGGAAGTTAGGGAAGTAGGGTACAAAAAATAATTTAATGTATATCTGTAAGCAACGATAAACCATTGCTAACGAAAAAACGATTCTGTGTAGAGTTCAGTTTATAGTGATGCTTTGTCAACAAAATACATGTCAAACTATGGTAAAATAATTAAATAGGCATTATACATTTGCTTTAATAATATTTGTTTAATATTAATCCGATTTTCCCGTTTTCCAAGTTTTTCGAATTTGCTGGGAAAAATGATCTCATAAAGTACGCCTCCAATCAGATTTCCTTTAAAAAAAGCGGTATCATTGTAAATTAGAGCAAAATTGCCGGTTAGAAAGTTGTTTACAGAAAAAAAAGCACAAAGTATTTTTCAACTTATACCTACTTTCGTACATTTTCCCGTTTTCTTCCGTTTTTATTGGTTTTTTATATTTGTTGAGAAAATTTCTTGGAAAATGGAAAAATGATCTCTTTAAAGTATCAACCTACGAAAATTTTCTTTCAGAAAAGGGTCTAAATTATATACATTGGAGTAAGTTTTTGGTAGAAAAAGTTTTGACACAAAAAAAAAATAAAAAAACAAACATCTTTGTAAAACCAATACATTCTTCAATCCACTCAGAATCTAAAAAAAATATGTCAGTTTTTATCACATTCAAATTTTGATTATTATACATCACTATATAGGGTGATTAACTAAGTGTGCTTCGAATGAAAATCTATATTAAAAAAAGAGATAATACTCTTTTAAGTTTTTGGTAGGAGTTGACACCATCTTTTGAAAGAGTCAACACTATGTCAATGTAGGAGATTACCTGCTTTTGTTGGAGTTTACCATCCCCTGTATACATCACCCCCCACCTACACAAAAATAATAAACATACATAATATATACAATATACATATGTACGGCAGTTGTAATAATATTATTTTTCATTTTAGATTCTGAGCAGAGTGAGGAATTTATTGGTTTTATATTACAATGGTGTTTAATTTATTTCATTAATTGTCATTATCTATTTTTTATCTATAAACAACCTTTCTACCAGTAATTACCAGTAATTATGCTCCGATTTACAAATGATAACTTTTTTTTCTGAAAGGAAATCTTACTGGGGTGATACTTAAGGATGCAATTGTTTTTATTTTCCCTAGAGTTTTCCCAATAAATGGGAAAAACTGGACAATGTACGAAATGTAGGTATACGTAAAAACATATTAAGGCATTGTTTTGAACAACTTTTTATAATTTTTCTTAAGAATGTGAACAGTCTAGTCGTCTCGTGAACCTTATACCCATACTGACGCGTAACGCTCGTTGTTAATCCTCGTTATTGGTCGCGACCTTTTTTTTCCATTATTATACTATCATAATTACCTAATTAAGCACATAATTACGCTTATCGTCAAAAACACTTTGTTCTCCCCAAATATCACTTGATGTCAGCTTGCACCCCAAACTAAAGGATCAATCACCAACCTACACCTTATGCGGAGACCACCACACTGCCAGTTACCGTGGGTGCATTACACATAAAAATCTCCAACGTTTACACCAAAACTCAAATACATTCTCAACAACTTTTAAAACTAAAGCAAATAATGTAAACGTGAGTCGAAACCACAGCGTAGACACCATCATTTTCACTAGGTATAAACGAGTTCCCTTCTCTCTCCCATAATCTCTCCCTCCTGAACCACAAATAAAAAAAATAAAATAAGCGCAACGTGAAGTATATAATGTCACACAAGAAACTAACATAGAAAAACTGATGTCCTCATTTTTAATTGAAATGAAGTTATTAATAAACCCTTTTACTCAACTAATCACCATAGTTATCAATAAAATAATTTTAAAATATGAGCATTAAACTTTCTAACATAATTTGATCTTTAAATTATACTATGTAATGCAAATAGGCTGAAGCAAAACGAGCACTAATTACTGCAACTATAAATTAAAAATAAAATAGATGTCGTTCTAATAACAAAAACTCACTATGCTTCCGGTACTAACTATTTTCTCTCCGAGTATCAAGTCTGTAGAGCCGATCTCCCCAACGAAACCACCCACGTGATTTCCTCTATTTTAATATCAACAAAAATCGAACATTATCGATTTCAAAGTCTCCAACTGCCATCAATACAAGCAACAAATATCCAAACCATACTAAACCACACTCCAACTACATTATTCTTTATTTATCGTTCCCCTCTATCGGCAATAATGCCCTTCCAATTTGAAAAATGCCTAAAGTCACTTTTGAAGAAAGTTTCGTCTTATTGTTAGTGCATTAGAAATTCGTTTTTGATTGTAGATTCCGAGCGGAGCAAGAAATATATTGATTATAAAATTATATTTTTTTTTTTTTTTTATCCGTGAATAACTTATACAACAGAAATTTTACTCCGATTTACAATGATAGCACTTTTTCTGAATGTAGACTGAGGTGATACTTTAGATTTTCCAACAAGTTTTCCCAATAAATGAGAACAGTGGAAAAAACCATAGGAAAA